ATTAACGATAAATCGTGAGCGTGTCATCCGTAAGGTGCAATTTAGTTGTAGGGCCGTGGCACGCGAAAAAGCCTCTCTCTCTCTCTCTCTCACTCTCTCTCTCTCTCTCTCTCTCTCTCTCTCTCTCTCTCTCTCTCTCTCTCTCGACGAAGATTATACGTTGAGGTGTGCATGCCTGAGTGTGTATGTGTCGAAGCCGCGAGATTTTGTGCCTGCTTGTTTTCGTCTCAGAGTTCACCCGATAAATCATTAGTCGAGATGAGGCCCTCAGGCGCTGCGTTTCCGGGTTCTCTCCACTCGACGATTTTGAATTCGCCTCTACCTACAGCCGGCTGTTGCTGCTGTTGGTTGGTTACGTTGTCTTTCTGCGGCGTGCCTCGCAGATGTTCCTCGATCAATTGGAATCTCGACTGCTGTTGACCTACCTTTCGCGCGTGGCTTTAATTTCGAAAACTTCGCCGACCTAAACACTCCGATCTGCCGAATTATATAGCGACAGCTGCCGATTTCCATTCATCTCATGAATTTTAATTGTTTCTTTGTGTGAAATAGTTTGGACGACCCCGAATTTTGTTACTTTTTAACTATATTATACGGCGATATTTATTTAGTCAAATATCATTGTCGCAAACAGATTCAATTTTGACTTATAAATACGAAAATGATTGGAAATACGAGTATACTAAAATAAAAGTTATTGAAGTGAACTGCATTGTTTCACTGTTATAATGCTCATTTTAAGTGAAGAGTTTCTTTGTTCTGATGCAAATGGTAATCTATAGAAATTTTCAAGGATATCTAGTTCCTTTACTACTTGATAACGATTGACTGATCTGAATCGAAATATGATTACAGTGACAAAAATAAATCAAATGCAATAAAACGCTTAGATAATTATTTACAAATAGAATAATCTTATTTAGTTTGAGAAAGTGGAAACGTCGATAAACGGATACAAACAGAGAGAAAGGATGAGCGAGGAAGCAGCGGCATGAGTAAGTACTTTGCGAATTCGAGCGTTGCGGCAGATGGTCTATAATGTATCAGCGGCGTGTCGGCGTAAAGTTCGTTCTGCCAATACGTCGAGTCGAGACGAAGAGAGAAGGGCGGCGTCGCTCAGCAACAGTAGCCGAAAATTTCGGGCGCGAGAAGAGCTTGAAGAGAGAACTTTGCCCGATACTCGCATTATCGGATGCATCGTTTTAACGTGCGAGCCAGCGAGTTTCGTCAAATGTTCCAAAACCTCGTGTTGCATTTCTTGCTTTAACGAGTGCATTCACAGTCACGATCACTTCTGTACTGTAGTTAATGAATAAATAACAACTGTTTGGTTTTCATCGATCTCTAATAAATTCATTAAATGAATTTTATTTCAACCTAAGTGAATCTTACAAGCTATTTAAAAAATTATTACAAGATATTCCGGATATATTCAAAACGTTTTCAATCCGATAAAATGACAGCTTATATCATCAGAGAGTGACACACGTACATAACTAAATACAAACGAGATATGTATTTTTTATTGCCGAACTAATATAAGTTTTACTTTTACACTTGATTATTTACAAGAAATTGACTTAAAGCTTTGATTCCAGTTAAATAATAATAGAGAAAAGGAGTGATAGCTTGAAAGACACTTAATTAGGAGATCAAATCGTGAATCAATCAAACATATTTATTATACATAAGTAAAAAGCTGATAAAATGTATTTTATTTATTTATCGAAACTATCTTTAGTAAATTCGTATTGCCCTATAAAATTAAAGTATAATATTTGAAATGCGATAAAAAATTCGATATACAAATAATATCGTTGTAAATAAGAAATCCTTAGCTGTACTAAGTATTACTGCGTATTTATTTCCAATTGATCAGTACTATTAGAGACTACTAAAAAAGTATGAATACAGAACCAACCAAAAGCGGTGCACGAAGAACGGACAGGAAGAAATATTGGGAAACGCTGGCAGCATTGGCGCACGCATCCAATTACGCAACTGTATACAGCTGGCCATTGATTAATAGCACCTAAACAGACTTTTCGCGTGCGAGGACGGAACAGCCGCTAATTATGCCTAAGGCGTATATATCAATTTGATGTCTTATCATAGAGAGACGCGGGTGTGGCCGAGCACGTCGTCGTCGGCGCTACTGTCGAGTGAACTCCCGTTGCTCCACTAATAACCATCGAGTCCTACTATATATGCATAAGTGGATTTTCCAAGAGGTCCCCTCGAGACAAAACGCCCCGACGCTCTCCCACGGTATGAATCGCGGCTCAATTGATCGAGCTCATTGCCAACCACAGCATTTAATTGTACTGCAATCAAGTCGCTGGCTCGTAAAAGCCGATCCTCGTCGTCGCGTCGACGCGCTGTGCCGCTGAGAGAGTCTTCGAGGCAAAAAGAACAAGGGAAGCCCAGTGAGAAGCCCGGAAGGCGCTCGAGGGCCGTCGAAGAAAGTCAACGTAATATACGAAGCCGACTGCTTTATATATATATATATATATATATATATATATATATATATATACATACATACATATATACGCTTGCTTTTTAAATGATAGCTGCGTGCATCCGCGTGCTGCATGCACCGTGATCAAGTCGTTAATACGTTGCCAATAATCACCTCATTACGAGCAGCGATTTATCGTGCTTTATTTCACCACGCTACGTTGTGATTTACTTCATGGCTCATTTGACGTGTGCTCCAATCAAAATACCTTGATTTACTCGGGCAAAATAAAAATAAACAAAGCACCAACCTTGTCAACGCTCAGCGCTCAAAAGTCAAGATTCGAGTGCGTAGAACCAAATTAATGGAGAACGCAGATGTACCTAACGTGTAAATCAAGGCGACGCTGAATTTATTGTCGTATAACTACGCGAGTTACAAATCGTCCGCGAGTAATAATTAATCCGCGTTGGGGAAGTGGAGGGGGGAAGCGTTGTAAATTCTCGGCTTACCAAAGACTTGCAAATAGGCGGGTACACAGAGAGGAGAGCGCGCGTAAACGCACTCTGCCACCCCAACTCACGTGTAGCCCAATGAAGGTTCGTACATCAGCAATGATTTGTGCAACTTGAATAAGTACATCCGTCACGTCGTGGAAATCATTAGCATGTCAAGCATCGGATGTCCCGAAGTCTAAATCACGTCCCCGCGAGCTTTAACCGCGAAACATTTGCACGTGAAACGTGCTACCGAGAGAAAGAGAGAGAGAGAAAGAGAGAGAGAGGGACAGAGTTCTGCCTCTGCGACACGTTCTGCGCACGACCTCATCGATCATTAATATTGCCACGCATTCATGGCTCTGATAAATCTTGCACGGTCGCACAACGAATACTTTTGCAAATCTATCGATATGACTGAGCTTTGTGTGGCGATTAAAAAGAATCTTCACGATGTGACAGAGAGCTCACCAAAATGTACCCTGTGGAGATGGCTTTAATCTATTCTTCTACGATCGCAGCTTGAAATATTAATCGCGCTCAAAAGGGTTGAGAGCTGCATGATATCAAAGCTCGATCTATCTCTCTATCTCTCGTTAGGTCGGCCGTATGTCAAAGCGAGTTCCACTTGCCGAAGACTCCCTCCTCCTCCTCCTGGGTGTTATCACTTAGTTCGTCGCGGCGCGATCAACGAAAGACTCGAGCGTGTACGCTACCACGGCGCAGTTCGCGAACTCTTCCCCGCGCACGCGCGCAAGTCAGCTCTGGCTCAATTATTTAAGTGATGAATGCGTGATTCCGACCACGCCATATGTGCCTTAAAAACTTGCAAACCCAGCTTTTTCGATCCTAATACTTTCAAGTATTAAATTCGCGTTTCACGTGTTACCCGCTCCCTCTCTCCCTCTCTCTCTCCCTCTCTCTTTCTCTTCTTCTCCCTTAATGCATTTAAGCTTATTAATCCCTTGGTAATAGGATATTTGCATGCAATTTTTATTACATGATAATGTGAAAACGTATTTCTGCTATCCAGAATAAAAGTACTTCAAATATTCAGATAAGAAAAGATGAAAATCATCGGTCTTTTTAATGGGAGCTATATCGCACAGTAATGATCTGAATTTTATCGTGAGGTTTATTAGCCTTGTCAATCCATGCGTTACTTATATATTAAATTGTCATTTTGCACATTTTTTCAAATATGCATTTAGATGCAATCTATTACATCTAAATGCATATTTGAAAAACAGTGAAACTAACAAAGTCTCAATGTTTATAATCCATTATTCCATCGTCGAGAAGGATTCGGACGCATTCTTAGCTAGTTTTGTGTGTTTTATTGAATAAATGCATTGTAAACATATACATTATCATTGATCAAAGTATCAAATAGCTTTTGTTTAATCAAACGATCGATCCGTTCAACAAAATCAAATTAGTTGGATTGAAAAGAGCTTGCATACGAGAGATGAATAGACCTTCTATTTTTTAACTTCTAAAATTACAAGTGAAGTGCACCCCTAATTGACACAGCCAGTCGATCCATCATTATTTAAAATGAATATATTTTTGTGTTTTATTTGGCTATCTATTAGTATAAAGTAGCATACTTACAAAATGAAAACTCTAAACTATTTATACAGACCTATGACCAACGTCTATCTCGGCTGGTTAATTTGACAAAATATATTCACATGTGCAAACACCGAACATCGTGATATGTTATATTTGTGAAGAAAATTGGTGACGAAAACATTTTTCAACGTAAACAGATGCAACAGAATACATATAAAACGACTCTATATGATTTCAGAAGCATAAATCGGAAAATCAACAGCAAATATTTACCACAATATAATTTTTTTCTTTTAAAAAAAAGTTATCTTCGTTAAGAATGATTTTTCAGTAGACAATCTATGTCTCGTCTGTTCATAACAATCACGATCACATATTCTACCAATTGTTTTATTTGATCAGGTTTTATATCAAAACCGAGTCCAGTTAATTCAAGTATTTAAATTGAAAAATTGTTGCTGTTTTAGGTCGCTGTGAAGATTATAGACACGAATAAAATATTACAAAAATACGTGCTGAAGAACCTTTACAGAGAAGCAAAACTACTGTCTAAATTAAATCACCCAAATATCATTCGACTGTACGAGACTATCCAAGTAAGTCAAACATTTACTGTCAATATTCAAGTTCATATTCAAGTTTATTATTAGCGTCTTTGAACTCACACGTACCTTCTTTATTGCATATTTTAACTATTTGCCTTTAGCGGTTTGAGATTTCTGAGAACTCTGTCGCGTCGACGTCATATGCATTGTTCAAGTTAATTACATATTTCGAGATGTAGTTAAATATTATTGTGTACTCGTAACCCAATTTCTGCACTTAAAAGATTGTTTCTCTAGATTATAATTTTAATGTAGATATCAAATTATATTTAAATTCATCGAAAATTACTGCTGTGCACGGCTAAATTAAAAGGCAACAAGCTTTGGCGCAATTCGAGTGATTCGCAAATACGAATCAAAAGAAAAAACGTAAAATGCAAAGAGGCAAATCAAACAAAAGCTCGCATTAATTAGCTTTGACGTTTTTGCAAGCTTTGAACGGCGAGTTTTGTCAATTCCACGTATCCGACACGGAACAAACTGAAAAATGCGGGCGAAAAAAATCTATCTCTTGCGCATTTTTTTTCTCTCTCTCCCCTTCTCTCTGTCCCATACTATACACGGGTGAGCGCCAAAGCGTGATGGGGATACACGTTAAAAAGCCGTTTTTTTGTCCTCCCTCGTGTTCTCCTTTTCCCCATTGTTTTTGTACGATAGGAGGACCGACGGACTGGCGGATAGAGCGAGACAGAGAAAAATCACCTCTATTTCCCTTTTTCATTTTCACTCGCTCGCGCACATATGTATATACGCTCGTGGACAATGGCGCAACAGCTTTTACTTGCGTTTGCCCTTTTCATCTGACCCTCTTTTCCCCAAGTAACGAGAGTGTTACTTTTGTTGTAATTAAAAATATTCAACCCTTCCGTGTTACTCTAATAGTCTGCTCTTGTTGTCAGACTCGATATTGGGGTGCAAGGGTGCGAATTCTCCTGGTGTAAACTAGACTTCAATCGTCTCGACTTAACTGTGTACGGGCATAGCAATGCGATTTGCGACAAAGGGACAACAAAGTTACCCGATGGAAGCAGTTTTAGTGAAATCTTCAGATGTAGATGACAGCAAAATTTTTTAACTTCATTTTTTAAAACCATTCTCAAAGACATAGTATCGAATTCAATTGTAATACTCCAACATTTGTCTCTATTCGAAAGTTCTAAAGTAGCTCAAAATCATCAATTTTGTAATTTACATATGTTCAAAAATATTACCATGAGAAAGGTAAATTTGAAAGAGGAGGTCAAAAGCTTCATAGGTAATCGTATGCTTGCCAAGACCCGTACGTATAAAGCGAAGTAAAGGGGGCGTTAACGCGAAGTATGAATTTCCAGTTATACTTCAGCTTGCACGTGGATGAAGTCGTGCAAGAAAGTTTCAACTTTCATAACTTCCATCAAGACTATTAAACTGCAGGATAGCGTTTGATTTCCATGAAAAATTGTACATTCAATATGTAACGGGGATTCCCTTGGTACTTTAAAACTTCAAAAGGACTCTTACGTACATCATGCCTTTTGTTGCGAAAGGTCATGAATATCATACGATTTATAGTATTTCGTTAACTACATCTATTTTCGTAAAACCTAACAAACGAAATATATTTATTTATTAAGCAGAGTAGTATATATAAATTACGTAATTGCAATAACTATACACATATATTAGAAAAAAATTATCATGCAGCAAAGAAAATAGTTTCATGTCCGCTGATCTGGACTATAATTAGAAACTTAAAATTAAAAGAAAAAATGTCAAGCAAATAACGAATTATTGGACTGTTATTTTCTTCACCAGAATCTGATTAACATTTGTACAACACTAGCTGTAGTATAGTAACACCCTCGATCACTTCCGTTTCTTTAAAAAAATAAATAATATATAAATGATCTTTTCTACGTGATTAATTTTTACTACACGAATAAGTCCAACTACATATGTTACTCTATAGTGTGAAAAAATTATTTATTATTGTAAAATTGAGTTACGTTTGCAAAAAGACGTAAAAACTATATCATCAATAACTATTAGATCTCTGTATTTTGATTATAATTTTAGTAAATACACCGAGCTAAAAAAAATTTGTTTTCATTTCGTGTCTCTATCATAGAGTAGTATTTTTCTATTTTAAAAATAGCTTATGTTCCTGTATGTCATCTGAATACAGTCTGGATGCTGGATTGATTGTTTAGAAACAAACTCTGCTTTAGTCACTTTTGCCTTGATATTGTTTTCTTCAGATTTTTTCTCAATTACGTTAAAAATAGTTTTGATAGGTTTATAGTTTTTGAAGAATATTATTATTTGTTGTTAGAATTTAGAATATAAAGCTTTGTAAATTTTATTAGTTTGTAATCTTTGCAATAGAGTTCATTGTAGTCATTCTGCTTTTTTTTATTAATATTGTCGCTTCGTTGATTCAATAACTTCATTTGCAAATATGATTATTTTGTTCAATGCATCGATGGCTTTTGATTACATTTTATTATAATTGTCTAATATTAATCTTGAATGAAACCTATTGTGATATAAGTTGGAATTTTCACGTTCACATGTACAGGCCCTATTATCTAACAGTATTTTGACTGAATAATTTGTATACTTATAGACTTTCACTGAAAGATATGAATTTCCGTTGAACTTTCTATTTAATAATTATATAAGTTTCTTTCAATTGAATTTACGTTCAATTATTATCTATTATGTCAAAAACAGTTTCCACAGATTTGTATTTATTGTAGATTCTGATGTAGAACATAAAGCTTTTAACAAAATATTAGTTTATAGTATTACACCTGTTAGGATTTTTTTATTCATCTTTGATATTTCATTGTTATTTTTGTTTTCAACTATCTAGAGTTCATTTGATAGTTTGTTATAATGTCCTTATATTATAACTATTTTTAAAACTTATTTTTCTTATTCTTTTGGGGTCCTGTAAGCTATTATATGCATATAGTTTTTATTATTGAATGTTTGGGATAGTTCTTCATAATAGTATAATAGAGATTTGAAAAAAAAGTTTGTTCAATATTAATTAGGTTTTTAACTACTATAAAGTGGTTTTTATGTACTATTTTAAGTAATCTAGTTTGTAAGTTTTGTAGTCTTTTTTATTCACCCTAAATAAGTTCCTCCCCGTGCAATTTTTGCGTAGGAGTAAACACTATTGAATAGTGCATACTACTGTCATGATGCGTGTTAAACTTTATCCTCCTACACCATTTAAAAAATGATCGAGGAGGTAGTCTGCATATTCACGACTATAGGGAACGAAGACTAATGTGTACAGGTACTTAGTTTACCTCTGTAGCATTCCACGTGGACGTACTTCTTGAAGTAACAATGACAATAACAATAACAATACTGAAAGGTTCTTAATATTTCTATGCTTCTAATTTTTAATGATTTGTAGAATATAAAGGTATATTTGATTTTCTTGTACAAATGTAGTAAATGTAGGTCCCATTTCATTTTGTGTTTAGTCGTCACAGCTAGATATTTTGTATTGTGCACTCTGTTTATTCTTTTATCTTGTATATTAATTTTTGAATTTATTGGTGTACTATTGCAATTGGTACCAAATTCAATGTAAGTTATTTTGTGAATGTTGAGTGATAAGTTGATTAATGCTCAATTTTCTCCAGTTGAAATAATGGTATATCATTTATGTAGATTATAAAAAGCAGTGGTCCTAGTTGTCCTAAAATTTTATAGTCTACTGTGTCTAAAGCTTTAGCAAGGTCAAGAATATATATACAAGTTTTTTAAAATTAAGAATGGCGATTCATTCGATAATAAATTTTCATGAAAAAAAATTATGTTAACAACTAATTTTTTCTTTAATTAAAATATGATAGGTTCTTCGTGATGCCATTGAAACTGCTATCAAAGAATAGCTGTAAGCCTAGTTAACCCTTTAACAATCGAGCTTTTGTCTCACCCTATTGCCATTCTTCGACGCTCGGTGATATTCTATATCAAGCTCTTGTTTGACGAGCAAACAAGAGCTAATAGTCGGATTTCCCAGAAGCAAGATACGCTAGAATTAAACTCAATTGCAAAAGCATTAATTAAGCTTGAGTTTTTCCTACTCAAAAGAAATTATTATTTTCATCGACTTCCATTAAATAAATATTACGTATAACAAGTTTTATTATATTTTATATATATATATATATATATATATATATATAAAATATATATATATATATATATATATATATATATATATATATATATATATATATATATATATATATACAAGACTGCTTCTATAAAATATGAGACAGGATGCTTACAAAGTTAGATATTCTTTTATACGGTCGAGTTGAATAGATGCAAAGAAGCAGAACAGTAAATTTTAGCAAATAACAATCGAGTAATAACGATGTTAGAATGACGACTGAACCCCCATTTCATATCATATTCATGTCATCGTTGTTCCATTGTGATATGAAGGGATCTTTTTTACATGTACAATTTTGACGTCCCACGAGATATATTGCTACAGAGTAAAGTGCTGATACTTGTAAGTAAAGATTGGCTTTCGTTAGCATCTGTGAAAACCTATACGTATCTATAATATTACTCAAAGAAATAAGGTATATTATTTTTCATTGTTAAATTTGAAAAATAAACATGCGATAAACTTCAACACAATACTAGAGTATATATAAATTTCATTTTCTCAACGAAAAATATAGAAAAAAGTTAATTTTAACTAATTAATAAAAATGTTTTTTCTGTGTTGCGATATTATCGCAATAAAATAATCTATTATTACCAAAATAATTATCAAACTCAACAATATATTATTAAATGCATTGAAAGAAATTCATAAATCGCAATCAACACGACAGATACATTCTTATATGTAATATTAACGACAATTTTAATTTTGTACCGCATTTTCAGAGACCTATGTTTATCTTGAATGTAATTAATTGACATAGCATTCAAGATTGTTTTATTGAGAAGGTGCTAAGATACGTCTACATGATGGTAGCAGTTACAGCTTTCGTTTAATGAAGAAATTGAAAAAAATGCGGAATAATAAGTTTATACAAAATGTATAAAAAACGACACTCCCGCCGATTAAATACCATGATGCGAAATAATGAATTTAATTGATTAATTAAACTAATAGTCAGTAAAAATGAACTTGTTATTTTGATTTATCCGAACTCTCACAGTTTTGTCTTTGAATTAGTAATAGGATAAGAAAGATGATAGAATAAACTAAAATGTTTTAGGTTTACTCTACCATTATTATTTATTGTACAATATGGAGAGTGAATCACTTAGTAAGGATAACAAAGAAACATCAGAAATGAAAACGAATAGAACAATATTTTTTGCAAGGTTCACATAGCGAAACTAATTTGACCATACATAATCTTTCATATTTTTATAAAGTTTAAAGAAAGCGATATAAGTTACAAAAAAATCGGTAAATCTAGGTTACACTGGGGTATAATATAACTTGTCCAGAGTGTTCTAATCCAGTCCGACTTAACGAACAGCGTTACTACTAGTTCATATGCAATATACGTATGCGAGCTTAAAAAATATCTTTATCTTTTATACAGGAATGTTATGTGAATTACAATGAAATCAGTGAATAAAATTGAATATAATTATCATTTATCTCGGTGGTAGTTTCAAATAACCTGTTATTTCATCAAAATAAATTATACGTTAAAATTCAATGAGGTATAGCTGAAAGTTTCAAGTTTCCACTAATTAGAGAATTGTCCAGAAAATTAAGCAATAATACACTTGAGTAGGCTATTTTTTATAAATATTATGTTAAATATAATTTATTGCTCATTATATATCTCATATTTACAAATACTTTAAGTATTGAATGTACACTTAGCGAAGATTAAACGAAAAAGTGATTTCATTTAATTACAGACGTTAAAAGCATCAAATATACAAAGTAATTATGAAATCGTGATAGTTGCTCGATAATATTATGACCAAAAAAGAACAATTATTCCAAATATATATTTTACGATTAAGTTGATTCTGATTTTGAAATTAGGTCAAGTGAACTAGTTAATCCGCAAGACAATTATCCTCAAAATGTATTGAAACCGCATCAGCCATAATAATTCATGGTTTAAATGCTGAATCCAACAGTGCGGTGCCGTGTACTACCTCGTGACGGAGCTTGCGACAGGCGGTGACCTCGGCTCCCACGTAAGAAGCCAGCCGGGCGGTCGCCTCGACGAAGTCAGCGCGAGATGTTATGCTCGCCAGCTGGCGGATGGTCTGCAGCACATGCACTCCAAAAACATCGTGCATCGGTGAGTGGCTTTTTTTCGTTATCGTACACAAAGCTCTTCCTTTTTTCGGTTCTTCTGCCCGTACACTTGTAGCTTCTTTATTTAAAGTATATATTCAATATGTGTTGGAATAGCTACGCATTCAATAACAATTTAATACGAACATGGAGGCATATAAAATATAGATTAAATTGTAGGTGTTTCATCTTGTTAATCTCTTACACTTGAATCACCATTTCACTTTTATTGAAATTGACAGCCTTATTCCGGACATGAAAACGCCCATTTCGAAAGTGTATGCAATAAATTTTATCACATTACCGTTAAAAAATATCATCTCGTGCCATTACTAAAAGTTCAAAGTGTGAAAGCTCTCGATATTCGTCCCCTGAAAAGAGAAAATAACGCGTGCGAGCCATATTACACATTAATTTCCAGGGTGAATTATAATCGTAACTCAGTTTTAATATAAGAAAAGTATGAGGGAGAAAGCGATCTGTACGACGCAACAGCTAGAAATTTCAATATAATGTGAAAGATGATACGAGAGAAGACGGTGCTCTGGCTGCGGGGCGCCAAAGGGGCGTCGAAAAGCGAATTTCGATACGCGGGCGCTCAAGGTACAAAATAAATTTCGGCCTCCCCTGGCGCACAAGCGCAGAATCGCTAGTGGCACTTGACGGCAAAAAGATCCCGCGACGCGTCTTTCGCCCGACTGACACATAATGCACGGAGCATGTGACGCGAGACCTCGTCGGCGTTCGTGCCCCGCCGAGAAATTTCTACGTACACCAATCGAATCTTTACGCCTTTAGCCTCAAGACACAAAATAAGAAATCCCACCGAAACAATCACTTCGTTTGCAGATAAGTAACGAAAAAACTGACCTTTCAATCTTGATCTGAAAGTTAATCGAAAAGTAGCATTGATCAAAGAGCGAAAAAAGCCTGCTGCGCTGGGCATCCGGCCTGTAAGAAAAAAGAAGACGAAAAAAAAAATGCAAATGGAAAGGTAATGGAATGAAAGTAAGCGGTAAAAACGTGCAAGTAGTAAAAGGAAGAAAAGGGCAGGCATCAAGCAGAACGTCAGCAGCCGGAAGAAAGAGAGAGAGGAAAAGTATGCGAAAGTTGGCCGTAGCGCGTATAGATAGGGTCGACGTGCGAGCGAGCGAGCCCCAGGGCTATAAATTCAAAAGGAACGAGAGAGGGGAATGAAGAGATTTGCGTCGTATACAGGCTCGCACCGGGTGACGATCACGACGACGACGACGACGACGACGACGACGACGACGACGACGACGATGCGCCTGTGCTATACTCGCACGTTCTCTCTCTCTCTCTCTCTCTTCCTCCTTTCTTTCCTACTTCCCGAATGCAAAATCTCAATCTCCGACTTGATGTTGATGCATTGTCGCTCTGGCGTCTCTCCGCTGCATACGTGCTTTCGTTTACAGAGCACGCAGATAAATAAACGTCGCACGCTTCGTGCGTAGCTTGTTAAAAAATTGCAATCCACGTGTCAGCACTGATTAGCGGACCAAATCATCCATCGTTTCACTCGTTACACATATATGCGAGTCGCGGAAGGAAGATCTGGCCTCAATGCCTGTGGCAATTATCACGTAATAATTTAACAAGAAAATGTGCGTTGATGAGCGCATCTACGAATAAAGGTGAAATCGTCAAGAAGTTCAATAGAAAAGTAAATCCGTATAGAAAATAATCTATTGTTGCGTAAGTTTACATTGATATTAATAACTTGCATGCAGAGAGAGAAAGTGTGAATAATAAGATTGCCGGTATAAATTTGAATTGAATTCGCTAGGCGGAAGAGAATGAAATTTATGGTATTAATGGTGCTTACTCAATAATTGATGAGCGTTATTTAACGCTCGTGAAAATTATTGTACGTATCGCGTCCGATATATCTTATCAATGTTTTGTAAGTTTATGCGTTGTCGCGCGAACCGAAGAAATAAAATTGCTCCACATCCTGTAAGTAATAAAACGATCGAATAAATTAAAAAGTTCATCAATCTTGCCGCCGTAGGAAATGACATCGAAATGAATTCGATGACAAAGTGCTGGCGTTCCGCAGGCACGCGGGCCACAATTAATGTCGGATTAGTTTACCAACAAACAACCAAGGTAATTCATATCATTAAACTTCCCCTCCTTGCGCTCTCGCGCGATTCATAAATTAAATTTCTCTGTGCGCGCGCGCCGTCCTGCAAGTGGTAGGTTCGCGCGGGCATCAGTCAGCGTCGTCGAAAGACAAAAACGAAATGTAAAGCAGCTACGCGAATGGTAAAAGAAAAAAAAAAAGAAGAAAAAGCCACGCGAGAGGCGGCAACATTAGCACGCCAACAGCAGCAGCCGCGGCAACGGCAGCTCGCAACTCATAATATACATATACACGCGCGCGCGCGCGCGCATAGGAGTCCCCCCTTAGGGTTGCCGCTGCCGCGCGCATCTGTACACATAATGCGCGCTACTACCACTCGCGAACCAAGCCTCGCAAGAAACGATGGTTAATGGTACATTCCCTCTCTCTCTCTCTCTCTCCTTGGCTTACGATCATATTTCACCGTGACTATACGTTCATGTACGCATATACGTAGAGGCTTGCGAGCACGCTCGCCACGTGTAATAGGTTTCGCGGGCGAGGATTAATCCAACAGCGATCCTCTCGCGCCACCGGTGTGAAATGTTTTCTGGCTTGGCCCAGATTACCCGCTCGCCGGAAAACAATATCGGCGCCGTATGCCTGCGCGCCGTCGCGAATTTTCACATTACCCTCTCGTTGCGCTTGCAGCAATGGCTCATCCCGCGGCGACATCCCACGCGTGCTGGCGCGACGCCACCGCGAAGCGCGTTATTTATGAAATAGGCTATTCGTCACGGAGTGACCTACGCACTTTTGCAGTTACGCGACCGCTGTGTCTCGATTCGCAGCGGAGGACATTCGTGTCTTCTGTTCGAATTACGTTGCACTCTCGCTTTACTGCATTGTACTCTGTAGCTGAGGTTTCGTGGAAAATGGATGAGATCGAGAACCAAGTAATTGAAGCTTCACAAGCTGTAATTGCAGCTTATTGTGAATAGTCATATAACGTATTGTTATTAATTTTTTTCTCCGCTGCATGCCTTTTTGGTGAATTTCAATCGATAGACGTTTATAATTATTACACATAGTGTAGGACAGAAAAAATTAAAATTTACGAGCGGTATATCAATCATTTTTCAACAAGTGAATACTTCATCATTCAATGTCGTAATGAAAGTCGCAGTAGAAATGTAATTAAGCAAATACGTGTGAAGGGGCAGCACATAAATGCACAGAGACAGCAAGCGGTAAAATTTTATAGCAGAGAGATAGATAGATGTGATTTATTTCGCCTGAAAGTTCTACAAGGCAACAAATATAATATATAAATGTTATCGTATTAATTAATACATAGTACATTACAATAAATACAGTAAAATAAAGAGCAGAGCTGAAATACGAAATAGACAAGAGATTGTATGATGCGCATATGAGAAGACGACTAAGCAACGCGTAGTAGTACAAGACAAAGAAAAGAGTGCATCGATTACCCGGAGATAGAGGTAGAGTCAAGATACGTAGAGTGAAATTCACGAAGGATTAGTTGCTTGCGACAATCCGTGGAATGATCTATTTTCGCCAAGTACCAAACGAGTACCAGCATTTTTGGTAGCTTGAAGTAGTAAAGGTAGTACAAAAGCTCGCGCGAGGGTTTCACGGACTTGGAAACTTAACGCATGTTCGTGGGGACGAAGCTGCGGGAGCGTTCGATAGATTTTCTGACGCATACGAGATACGCGTTTTTTTTTCTAGCATAGGTTGTGAATTCATCCAAATGCCGAGATTTTTCGATTCAGTGGCGCATTCTAGTTAAGCATGACCGATAGAGACGCGTGGGAGCTCGGCAAAGTTAACGAGGGCTAGGCTGGATGCGAAGCCTAGGTTCAACACTAGTTAATTAAGGTCATTGGCCAGTACCCAGTGGAAGATGGCTGTCACATCATCATCGGCATTGATTAAAAACATCAAGAGAAGAGCAACACGAAGGGCAGATCATTAGTAAATGTAGCGAAGAATAAAGGAGCTCAATGACGAGCCTTGAGGTATGCCAGCAAAGGTATCGATCCAATTAGAGACCGTGCCACCATTGTCGCTGCCCACCTGAAATCGATTCCCAAGAAATACAATATGAACCATTCAATGTTCCGATCGTGTATACGAAAATACCGAAGCTTACGAATAAGAATATCATACGGTATTCGATCGAAGGCCTTCAAAAACTCCGCTAGAATCGTCCGTCACAAATCATCGAAAGAGAAAGAGAGAAAGAGAGAGTAAAGCGTGCCTGCATGGCCGAGCAAATTGCTGAAAAGACCAAAGTAGAGACCGAAAAAGCTTCGTACTTGGACATTTCCCGAGAGAAATTTGCACGCGCGAGCGCAGCAGCTGCGCTTGCAGTCGACGAATCCGCGCGATTGGCACAAAGAGAAAGAAAAACTGGTATATTGCGTTGCGAGCAGAGCAGGGGGGAGAGCTTACATTCGGCTGTACTGCCACTCGAGAATGCAACAGTGAAAATGAAATTCGAGCTCTCGTCGAAAGGACGCTAGCCACTATACAGATATATACAGATTGGCGGCAAAGGGAGAGAGAGAGAGAGAGAGAGAGAGAGAGAGCGCACTTGTATTTGGATGCTTGTGCTCACGCCATCTCGCTCTCTGCCCATTACTTCATCTCAGCTGATCCAGATTAGAAGAGCTATAGCTTGCCCAACTTAGATGTATTTCTATTCCCTCAACCTGTGTGCACGATCACACAACTGGGGATCAAGGCGGCAAAAGCGAAATATAGAAATAACCCTCTATCTCTCTCTCTCTCTCTTCCTGCGCCGAGAGATAGAGCCTCCTACGCCAAAAATTAATTAATAAAATCTATTTCACTGAAAGCACAACAGTCCAACAGATTTGTACAATAGGGATT